ATACTCACGGTATTTGGTTGCTTTGCAACCAACGTCATCATGTCGCATTTTGGCTGTCGATGCGCCCGCGCATCAGTAATAGCAATCGTAAAAATTATGCACTCATACTTTTTTCCGTACGCGCCTAAGAAGTATAACATTAAAAAGAAATAATTTCAAACTAGGAAATTCGAAAGTTCTTCAATGGCTTACTTCATTTTTTACTTCATTACAAAGCCCTCGAATTCTTAATATATTCCGTATTATTACAATCAATTGATCGGGCTTTTTATTTAAATTTGATGATAAGTTTTTGTGCAATATTATCTTTCACCTGTCAGTTTTTTTTTCTTCCTTTTTTGTACTTATTCCTCGTATGAGCATGTTTCTTTGAGAATTTCATTCCGATTAAGCCAATGCGGTATACACAAAGTAAATACTTACACCGCCATTAATATACAGCGTATATTAAACATTCTATAAAGCGTCTCTGTCGACGGGTTAACAGATATCGCTTTTTCTATACTGTGTTGAAGCGAAATGGCATATCTAGACGCGCAGGAGGAATTTACATGCGCGTGGCGTCGAAACTTGTCGTTGCTGGGCGCCACTTTCTGCGAACTCGCTTTGCAATTGGTCGGGTAACTTACGCAAGTCGGATGCAAACGCGATCTATTAATAGAACGCTGTGCATAATCAGTATGGAGCGCTGTGCGCTTGCGTGTAAAAACAATGTGTTGATTGCACCGACGAAATCGACTTCATGTGCTGGTCTAACATGGTTCCATATTGAATATGGAACCATTGTCTTATACCTCGTGCTGGTGCGGTTTACTACATTTTCGCGTTTCTAAAATGCTCTGATCATGCGTGTTTGCATTGCCGGCGTTTAGTCGAAGTATATTGCAACATGTGAATCATGTTGTTGATGTTGTGAAGAAATTTGCGTGTCCGTAATTCGTGGTATGAGGTCTCGGGATTGAAGCAAGTTAATAGCGAGCGATGACGAGTTTATTGCCTTTGTTATTTCCAGAAAGTTCTTTCCAAATTACGCACACAGTACGATACCTGGGTCAAACCTTTTCACATTAAGATTTATAGGGCCCTGTGTTCAGTTCCGTTTGTGCCCACTCAAAATTAAAGTTTTGTAAGTACTTTGGTTTTCTTGTGTTAGAATCGCCTGGTACGAGACGAATTGTTATTGAGATGCAAACGAAAGAAATACGTTTAATTATGTTAACTTAAGATCCCTAGTTACTTCTGAGTATAATATACTGAGTGGGTAAGGCCTCCTCTATATTTTTATCGCACGCGGCCCCACTGCGGATTGGCGGACTTCACATATTTTCGCGTTATTATTTCGAAAATATGCAGGTTTCCTCACGATGTTTTCCTTTTTTTTCGAACTCAGGTTGCTAAAGGCGAGCGCCCGGACACTGAGCTATCACGGCTCGCGTATAATATACTGAGTATAATTTTTATCGCTAGGTGCGTTTTTTTCTGCGAACATTCGAGTAATTTCGATCGCATTGGGTCTCATCCAAACCGGTTCTTCTTTCGGCGGTGGAAACGTATGTTCTTCACAATGCTCTAATGCCTCGATCGTTCTTACTTATTTGAGTGGGAGCTTGCGCGGTGCCATATAGAACATAGAGAACTAACAAGGTTTAAGATCAAAACTAACCAGTCCTCAGTGATACTGATTCACGATTGCAGAATGATTACAGAAGTCTCCTATTGCTTTACTCCTTTACATAAGATATAAATAATTTCCATACACACAGAAGTAATTCATTTAGCAAAATTTCCAAATACAAACAACAGAGCAAGAAAGCTAGCTGGTTCACAACTTGCATAATCCGAATGCACGTCTCTCTCCTCTGGCTTATCTTCTCTTCGTGATTGGCTTAAAGTAAAAATGTTAATACTTTTGTATGTGTTGAATTTGTGAGTGACGTAACGCCCACACCTTTTTTGGCAACTGTAACCTGTCTGCTGACGTCATTACATGGCGTGGTGTCTTATTATCCGGGTAACCGCTTGCTCATTCACCAACTCTCCTGAAGGTATCAGTACAGCCACATACGCCATTATATTCTTAAGGTGTGTTGGCAAGTACAGCTTGGAGATGTCCAACGATATTAAAAGCTATGTTGTTCTTCGTGATTTTTCAACCGAAGTGAGAATCCGTTGCATTTTTGTTAGTTGTGAAATACAATCAATTCCTATTTGGGAAGGTCGTCATGCCTTTAGCTATTTTTACTTAAAGTCGCGATAAGTAATGAGTCGTTAAAACGAGATAAATTGAGAATGTATTTGGACACATTTAGATAATTTTTTTGGGCCCCATTTATGTTACAATATTTAATGTTAGAAACCCATTTATGTACAAAGTAACCATAGATATCTAACAAGTGTAAAATGTAAAGATTAAAAGAGCCACATAGTGGAGTACCTATAGTTGACACTATAGCGCAAATTATATTCTAATTCTCAGGTATACAAATAATGACAGCATTGCTAAAAGTAGTTTGTTCCGAGTTTATCGACTGGTCCGATTGCAAAAAGCAATTCAAGCCTTGCGCTATTTGATAATAACTCTTTTTTTTAATATCATCGCTCGTCTTACATCCGGCGCGAATCCAATTAAAATTGCGAATATGCGTAATCCAAATCTCATAGGATTACATCATGTAAGAATTAGTTTACTGATTAGTTGATATCAGCCATTGAGACCGCTGGTCCCACGTTTTGGAGTATTACAAGTCAATAAAAGGACAACATACGTTAAGATTTTCGTCAGTGCAAGCAGCCGTTTAGCTTAGTGGTTAAAGCGTCTGGGAGTGTATCCGGAAGAAGTGAATTTTTTTTTACAAATCTTATAGCTAGTATTTCATTACGACGTGTCCATTATCCAGTCTTTCCTATTTTAATTCTTGCCGTCTACTGCTTATCTGACAACCTTGATTCGAGAATTATGTTTAATGCTAAAACGTTCCGTATTGTACGTTAATATACGGAGAACGCAAAAACTAAGATTAATTGTGGATAGTGAAAAAAAAATCCACGATATTTCATCTCCATTTTATATATCGTTTCACGTTTCCTTGGTCGACTCGGAAGTTAAATGTTACCATTTTTAGTTTTAGTTAAATATTTTTTTATTTATAATTTGAGATTTTTACCGAAATTTGATTTATTAAAGTAGAGCCTACCGAAATTTGATTTATTAAAGTAGAGCCTACACTCGCGATATCGCGGTTGATAGAAAGTGAAAAAATGATGTTAATTCAAAATGTGGTGCTAGGAGCACATAAACACAAAAAACATTTCGTAAACCTTCATGGGTTTTAACATAAAAAAGGTAACGAATTTGCTTTAGTGATATTTTGCTTGTTTAAAATAAAAATTACACAATGGTCGACTAAAAATACTGAAACCTAGATGGTTTTAGTTTGGACGTATAATATTGGATTTATAGTATTCTGTGTAATAAATACTTTTCGGAACTCGAGAGTCTCAGCAAATCTATTGACATTTTAATTTCTGATGAAATTTCATGTATGACATAATACACATAGGTACCTATTTCTTAACAAATATTGCATATTTATACGATTTGCTAAAAGCGTGAATTAACTTGAAACGCTCGTAATTCGATACATTTGCGTCGAGTGTGACGTGTAACCGATAGGCCTTTGTGTATATTATTCTTTTTATATTTATTACATTGCATTTAATAATGAGAAATATGTACGTGGCCAATCTCCTTACGAATTATCCGTTCGCGGGGAAACTGCAATGATTAAGGACCGCACTCATAGCCGTTAGTTAGTTAACAGTTAACTTCAGTTAAAGGTTTCACTTGAGACGATAATAAATCGCCAGTGTAATTATAATGTTGCTTCTCTCTTTTTTACCAGAGTTCTGGACATTACATAATAGTCATTGTTTGAAATAGGTCGGGTACCGTTCGTATGAATAATTTGCAAGACATAAATTAAGGGTTTCGTTGGAAACAGTAAATTCGTGACTTTACTTTATTGAAAGCCAATGTGTTTGCATACGAAAACAGTGAATTTAAACCTCAGGTAGTGGTAAAGGCTACATTTGCAGGTCTAAAACTCCAGGGCCCAGGGTATGCTGTACTGAGTACATGCAAAAATCACTGGATAAGCTGTGTTGTAAATATTACTAATGTAGATCTACACCGTTTGGATTTAAAGTTAAGAGCTAGCACCTATTTCTTGCGTGATGAGTCAGTCGCGATTTAACAACATATAATTGTATGTGTAACCTTACATAACCTCTGTTATATACTTCAATAAATCTTACATCTTTAGACAGTAGAATTGCTTTTTGTTTTGTTGCAATGTCACGGGCATTCCAGTAATTTTTCCATATAAGAACCAGTTTATTATCTTTTTATTTTATTACTGTTGTTCCAATTTATATGGAAACCTTTTAATGGATATATATTTATATGGAAGCCAGATGACTTCTTCTTCTTTATGCTGTTTAAGGACCAAGTTTCTTTCGTAAAAGACAAAATGAAGGTTTAAATTTGAGACGGTTTTTAAAATGCTCCAACGTGGCGGCAGACTGTCCACACAAAATTAACCTTATAAATTCAATAATGGAATTTTCATTTTCCTTGACTCTTGTCGTAAATAGATATATATTAACTAACATTGAAAGTACTAAAATCCTTCTTAGGATACCTACACTTATTTATGTGAGATGGAGTCAAGCGAGGTGGTGGTTTACCCGATGTTGAGTGTTATCCGCCGGCCGTGGACATGCAACACCCGCAGGATGTCAGATGCGTTGCCACCTTTTAATAAAGTGGGCCCCGGCTACTTAACTCAGCAGACAAAACGCAAATACTCCTTCGTATACTTTTCTGCGCAAGGCCGGTCTTCTGCGAGGTCGTGGTACTTCCCCGGATGGAACTACCCATTCGTGCCATAGCGAAGACGGTTGCGTAGCCCTACACAGAGCTGATTTTCCCCTCCTTACAGGCGACTGCTCGAGCTTGCTATGCGGGCGCACGAAGGAGGTGGAGGTCGGGGGCAATGTGGGCGCTGGGGCAGCCCTGGCGCTGTCCCTCGTCAGGCCGCCCACTTCCGGTCCCAGCGTTCCGTGTCAGCTGCGTTTAACAGCGCCAGAAGCGGCCGCGTTCACCGTTCGACTCATTGATGTAAAGGTGAGTTTTAGTAAGGCACAGTTATTTTTCGACGGTAGATAGAGCTCCTTAACTTGAAAAAAAGAAAATAAAACAGCGCTTGTATCAAATATCAGAAGTGGCGACCAGATGCATTTTAATTTTTCCTGTCTATTTCTAGGAGAGATGTGGCCAAATCACTTTTCTTTTAACACTATCTTTGGGCTCCGCAAATAGTTCATTGTCTTTGGTCAAAATTTGAAAGATAAAATGGTTATTGTGAGTAAAAGGAAAGACTTAAAAGAAAGACACCTTTTTTTTCACAAATTTTTAAGAAGAACCATTCTACCATAAAGTATTTTCGCGCGAGGACAAGCCGTAGAATTAAGAATTTTTTTCTCACTTATTGACGAAAATATGTAACTTTTGGTGTAAAAGAGTTTCTATTACATATTCTGTGCACATAACATAAAGCCAATGTTTATCGGGAATTATGTGCTTCCAAAATGGGGAATTAAATATAGTGCCAGAGATTACTCTTCCTTTATAATATCGGTATATTTATGTTATTTTGTGTAATTAGATCGGTTCATCAATAATCAATACGTGTGTATGGATTGTTTTATAATGTCATTTTATCAATTTAAATTCGTTGCGTCGATATGATCGATCTTAGTGACAGAAGCCTCTCAGCTGTGGGCTCTCAGGTGTTTAACGGTGGTAGGGCCACGCAGCAGCCTCGGCTGTTGCACGAATGGGCAGGCCCGTCCGGGTAAGTACCACGACCTCACAGAAGATACACGATTAAGTGGAAGTATGACAAATACTTTCGCGTTTCGTCTGGTGAGTGAGGTAGCCGGAGCCCAATTTTCAAAAGGTTGTCAACGCAACTGTAACCCTCGGGTATGTCCATGGGCGGCGGTATTCACTTAACATCAGGTGAACCGTCTGCTCGTTTGACAACTTTTCGCATAAAATAAAAAATAAAATAAATAAATACATAGGTGATACCTACTGTTACCTGTACTTGCAAAATAAACATTAATTTGCTATTTATGCGCACATCATGTAAATCTTAATCGAAGGCTATTCCATTGAAATGTATGCATAATCATGTTTCCTTTTTGTCAAGGTTCGTCTGCATTTCTATACAAAAATCTATTAACGACCGGCTGCTGTTAACTTATACCTCGTAAAAACCGCCAAGGTCTGTTTGAAGCTAAGTACGATTATAGTGCGCAGTAGACAGAGTAAACTAATTATGTCGTATTTGATTTGTTGGCAATAAAAGCTTTGTGCAAATATAAGTATTTATATGAGATGCCATAATAATAAATCTTAAAACCGCACTCAGAAAGTTTAATTTGGATTTAACTAGCATTTAAATCGATTGCAAAGTTCAGGCATAAAAGTCTGTAAATAAAACTCTACTTGACAAGTAAAGAAACGAACACGCTGATTGAGGTATCTACGAGTGCTTTGTGGAACCAATTTTCGCTAGTAGTATTTCCGGACAATCTCAATTGGGGTCCCTCAAGGAGCCTGCTCCATTATTATAAATCACTTACGCATTTGTAACTCTGCTGTTACGAATGTATGACGGGCAGTGAACACTCACGATCAACTGAGCTACTGAGGTCTATCTAGATGTAGCGTCTAGTAGTCTAACTGTAAGCGACAGTACACTCGTGACCGAAGTAAAGCCGAAGGTCGAAATCCTTTTCAATTCGCAACCAATAGACTAAGACATGTACTTAAACTAAATGAAAATTCCCAATTGATGGATGCAGAAATTACGACGCATTAAATTCGCTTCCTCCAAGGTTATTTACTGATGATAAATTAACTTAAAATGTCAGCTCAAGTAGTGACAATCGCGTATGTTGACCGACCAAATGATGCATTATTATAAACGTTGGCGTCATGCGTTGTATACACAAGTTTGTGTTAAAACACTGCATCCACGTATTTTACATTTATAATTAATTTTATTTATATTCTAAAATATAATATTTAAAATTTAAAACTTTATTATTCATCCGTTTCACACGACAATTTAAATGTTTTTTTAAGAAATTAACTTAAAAAGAAAATTACAAGTAGAAAAAAGATTGAATTTTTACTATAAATAAACGAATAATGAGACCATGCATGGATATTGTATTTGCACCTCATACCCTAGCTAGTAGAGTATTACGGAAGCAGATTATTACGGTATTACAACATCGGAAACCGATTGGGTTGCCTAAAAACAACACAGACTGTCATAATAATCTATTATGACATGGAACGACTTATCTCATGCACCTAATAGATTGCGCTCTCTAAACTCCATTCAGAGCGCCACGTACGGCTCTGCCGTTAATGTACATCGCATTCAACTATTGTTTCAAATTCTAATGTTGCCATAAAGTTACGGGATTAGTGCAGGTCACGTAGATAAGATCGCGTGGCGTAACGGTTGCGAAAATGCCTAAGACGGTTGCCACATGACGCCCCGTGTCATACTAAGTCGCGCAACGGACGATCGTGGAGATAGAGTCCGTAGGATTGTGTACGTTGCCAAATAGTTGTGGTAATGCGCTTCAGTATGGCCTATGCGCCATCAAGGTGGTATAAATTTAGTAAAGATAGCGACATAAACGCAGATTCGAGGCTGTGCAGAAGCTGTTCGGAAATGCCTACTAGAGGTCGGCAAAGCAACCAAACTCAGCAGTTGTCGTGCTCATCTCATGGAGATGTACTTTAGAACATTACATTTCGATGTGATGTAATGATTTTTATGTCAGAAGCGATGCCAGCAGGATAGGCAGTTCACGTGATGTTAACACTGGTCTTATCTGCGGTACTTTCCCGGACGTGCCTAACAGTTCGGTGACGGTTCACGTCTAAAAGCCTAAAGTGGCCTGAAGCCAAGAAAGAGGGTTATAGTTTTTATTCAGATAAAGTTAGAATGAGGGTTGCTGAGACAACTTGTTGTTATTTATGGGATAGTTAAAATAGTTGTTTCTGTTTATTATTGCACGGTTTTTAATTTTTAATATATTTTAAAGTTTTAAGCAGTAAATAAAATGAATGAAAAATCAAAAAAAAAAAAGATATGAACAAGTAAAAATTAGGATTACTGAGCATTTCATACACCCAATGCAATGGCAGTTAAAAATATGTTTCAAAGACTTGTCCAATATCTTATTCACTATTAAAAAACACCAACAGATATTTGTATATATACTGTTTGTGTAATACTATCTGTACTAAAATAATGTATGTATCTTTTGAAACGGAGTAATGTACATTGGAGTTTGAACGGCACAAAAATTAAAGACGTACGATTTATATGACGCTGGAGCGCAGTTACCAAGATATTGGCTTTGGTGTCGTGGATCGTGGGTTCGATTCCCACACGTGAAAAACTATTTGTGTGACCCACAGATAGTTGTTTCGCATCTGGGTGTTTGTCCACGTGAAATTAATGCTTGTAAAACGTCCTTATGAGACAGGATAGTTATTATCCTAAGGGCAATGTTTGTAAAATGAATTTCAATTCTATCTGTAATTTATAAAAAGTTCTATTCTTTATATAATTTGGTCAGAAGATGCTTTAGCTGTCGTCATCATCTTCAAATGACAGAGAATCGACAGTGAATATGATCGTGCTACGTTTGTCGTCATGCTGCCGGCACGGTGTCAATAAACCCCGCGAAAGTGTCTCCATTGTGTATTATCTAACATGATCTATTTATTAGGTGAAGTGACATTGTAATATAAAGCCATCTGTCTGGTGACAGGATTATAAATTTGTAAAAAAATGGCTGAACACGGTAAACGCGCGGTGTTCCATCCTTTTAAATCAACCGATAAATAAGATTTATTTTCAATCCATTGTTGTAATAAAAAACGTTTTATGATATATAGAACTGAATAGTGCTATTATTAAACATTTTTATTCTCATTATGAAGTGCAGTCTTTGATACTGTTAATTGATTTCCCGCTCGTGCACACCTGATAGGTCGCGTGCCGTTAAAAATCAATTAGATTCACTTATAATATAGGTTTAAAATAAAATTAACAGTTTAAATCATTCGCCTGGTACTCGCTATTACAATAAATCTGTAAGTTTAACCTTCATAAAGTATTTTTCGTTTATATATTGTTTAAAAGCATTGTCCTTATCTTAGGATGACATTAATCTTGTACGCACACTTTCACGTGGACAAACTACCGAATCAGGAACAATTATTATTTATGGGTCACACACACAACTCTTAGAAGGAATAGCACCCAAGACAACAGGCGCCGAAGACAATAGCATAGTAACTACGCCAGAAATATTTCGAATTATTTATGTTCAAAACGATTTATCCACTGTAAACTAATTTCTGATATAAAATAAATAAACATTTACAACAAAAAACTTATTAACTAAGCATAATTCAGTAAGCTACTCTAACTTAATTTTTTAAACAGTTACTAAAGCCCTGGCGGCTCTTTAAACTAGTCTAGAAAGATCCATTTCTATGCTCTTTCTGCTACACGTTCAGCAGTAATTTTGATTTAATGTTCTTTTATTTTAACTTTGCTAATAACCATAAATATAAGTAATAATTAGACATTATCTTAGGTTTATTACTTGTCATTTTTCTTATTTTAACATCTAGGTGTTTCGCAATCTTAACAAAATTTTTAATTTTAAAGATCTAAAGTATATTGTCGATGCAATTTCTGTATATTACACCTCAAATGTGTTTTTTGTCAGTACACTCGTATTTCCTCCTTAAATGTAATGATTCGATCGAACGCCATTTTAAAGGTTATGTTTGCTGCTATTGATGAACATATACAAGTAGAATAAAGTTAATGATTTCATAAATATACTTTCGGTTAAAAAAATTCTTATAAAGAATGTATGATAAACCATCTTATGACACTTTGTATAAATGTAAGATAGCGAAGTAAACTGTAAAAATGCTATAATTCTAAATAAGATACCAAAATACATTTACACATGTTGGCAACACTAAAGGAAGTCATTCCTTGAGGT